CCCATGAAATAAGCAATCGGTCATTTTCTGGTGAGCACTGACAGTTTTCATAATAGTCAAGCGTTGTTCTTGTTCTGATTAAGTCACATTCAACCCCTTGATGCCATGCTTGCATCCTGACCCGCTGGTGTTTCCCACCTCTAATTCAACTGTGCCCATGTTTATGGGGCCCTTACCCCAAACCGGCCGTGCTTGCTTCCACTAGGTGAGTAAGTCCTTTCCACAAACCCATCTGCTATTACTTTTTAATTTCACATGCTTCCTTGTGTATCTGAGATGGATCTTTTAATCCTAGATATTAATATTAGTTTATCCCAAGAAAGATCTGTTCACAGAACAAAGCTTTAAAAACCAAAAAGTACATCTGATGACAAATGGTTATGGATTTAGGTTTGTTGGCCATCTTCACAGACCAGGTGGCCAGGCCTGCTAGCAAGCAGTTGTGATCGCCAGTGGTCTAAAAATGTTCAAATCTAGAGCTCCAGCTGGAGGCAGCATTTGCTACCTTTAAGTGTAACTTTCCTAACTGTTCTCCATTGTCCACAAACCATCTAGATTTCTGTTACCCTTGGATCCTTGGGCTGGTGAGGAAGTCTTAAGCTGGACATGGCTGATAATATCTAAAATGGATATTTGCATCATTTTGCGGCCCTGGGTTTGCCCAGTTATGTGGCTTAAGTTGAAAGTTGGTTTAAAGTTTCTGCTGTCACTGAGCCTTCACCACCTTGGGCCTTCTGGCCTGACTGACCAGGTGCCACCCGAATCTAGTGATACTGCCTCTCTGTGATGCTTTAAGTGAGGTTTATCTCTGTCCACTCCAGTCCCACACTAAGCCACTCCCCTGGGCTAGGGAGGAACGCTCAGACACCCCCTCCACCATGTGTTCAGGAGGATCTCCTGTTGCTCCAGCCCTGCCTGGCTTGAGGGAGCAGCAGCTGAAGCCTGTGCCCTTTCCACATCATCTCTTTCTTCTTAGTGAGAGTGAAAGCCAGAGACCTGGGTCACATCCTGGGAGAGTCACTTTTACTTGCTGTGGGATCCCAGGCACATCACCTAAGGAAATCGAGGTTCAGAGAGGTTATCTGAAAAGATGCAGGTAACAGACACAGGATTGTCTGAGGATTAGGTGAGATTATATGGGACACAGAGCATTTTATGTCTGCTACATATTGATTTACAGGTGTCACACGAATCCCACCATTTAATGCTAACCATGAGCCAGACCCTTTACTAGGCCCATCACATGTATTGCCTGTTTAAATAAATCCTCCAGCCCCTCAGAGATTCTGACTTCATAATTATAAAATGCAGAATTGGTACCTTGCCTAAGACTGTTTAGTGATTTAGCCTCTGAGCTGAGCCATCACAGGGCTATCAGAGTAGCAATCTCACACGGTAGATTTGTAGGTGTCACAGAACCTGACAGACATAATTTTGGATGAGGATCTTTTTGGCGTTCTTCAAATCACATACCACTAACAACCATCACTCTGCTTCTGAGGACAGCACCCCTTGCTCTCAATCTTAGAGCATTTTCAATTATATTTTCAATTGTTGAAGATACAAGAAACTCTGTTTCTCTTCTCCCCTCAATAACATCCTTCCCCAAACTACTGCCTCTGGAATTTCCAACTCCTGAAAATATTTCTGACACATAAACTTTCCCTCTTTCACCATCCATCCCTCGCACTCTGGTATGGCCCTTGGCGTATCCTCAGATGAGAGCTGGTGGGAGCAGACCTTCTAATGCAGATGCCAAGTTAGAAGGGCGGCCTCTCCCCATCCATCAATTCTAACTGCATTCAAACATTTTCAATATGTGGGTTCCTTGATAACTTTCACTGTATGGAAAACAAAATAGAGGGAAATGATTATTGGCACAAAAGGGGGAAGCTGTAAATCTCCAAATCAGATATAGGACAGATTGGAACAATATGGGTTCCCCAAGGTTGCCATGATAATGCGTCTAATAACTCTCCTTGGGCAAAGAGGCAATCTGCTTTCAATCAATCTCACTTTTTCTGAGCAGAAATACCAATTATGTTGAAGGAAGATTTTTTTCCCTCCCTTTTTGATAAAGACTGATCTCTACCCCAGAAATCATGCTATAGCTGAAAAGATATATATTTTAAATTGTCTAGAATGGTATTGGACAGCTAGCACCAAATGAGAAAAGTCTTTTTTTTTTTCTCCTCTCTTCTGCCAGCATTTGTCTACTTCTTGAGAGAAGTGAAAGCTAATTAAAGGCTTAAGGGATAATATTGATTGCATTGGAATATATTTTATATATACCCAGCACATTTTTAACTAAGAGAACCCTGACTCTTTCTAAGGCTGAATAAATCAGCTGCCTGGGTCTTTGATTCAAGGGTGAGAGGGTGAACTCATCTCCTTCCCCTCCGCTTCTCACACATCCGTCCTTGAGATGAATGATTTTAGAAGGGGAAGAGGGAATGCTGGCAGATATTCATTCAGTTCTTTGCATACAGGATAGGAAGGATGAATGTCCAGGCATTTCTCTGGCCCGCTCATTGATTCGAGTTCAGCTTTGAATAATAACTGGGCTTATGCTGGTACAGAACTACAAGCTTTGCAATGCCTGGGGCAGGAGGCTGGCTGGGGGTTTTAACATCTCAGTCCCCTCATCTATGGAATGGGGGAAGAAGCTTGCCCAGGATCACACACATCCTTGGTGGCAGAGCATGAAATCAAATATAACATACTTTGACATCCAGGTGAAACCAAGATCAGTCCTATGGAGGACTGATCTTCCTTATGTTGGATCATGCTGGTTTCTTCATTCACTCATTTTTAGTCCTCGCCCTAGGATATGTTTATTGATTTTAGAGAGAGAGGAAGGGAAAGAGAGAGAAACACGATGTGAGAGAAAAACATCCATTGGTTGCCTCCTGTACATGCCCCTACTGGGAATTGAACCCACAATCTAGGTATGTGCCTTGACCAGGAATCGAGCCTGTAACCTTTTGGTGTATGGGACAACATTGCAACCAACTGAGCCACCTGGCTAGGGTGCTGGTCTCCAAATCATGGAAATTTGTGGGCAGAAAGTACTAGAACTGCCTTAAGCAACCCCACTGTCATTTGCAAAGTGGTCAGGAGGGAGGTCCTGTTTCTTAGTCAATTTCTGAACAAACCTGGCAAATTCAAAATCAGAAATCTTGTTCAGATCATGCAAATTCGGGAGAAGCCTGTTGTGTTCGTATAAATGCACATGTGCCACGAGCAATGTTTTAAGGTATGATGCGATAAAAATGTATATAATTCAAGTGTTTAATTTATATCATGTATTCTGAATACTATGTATGTTAGGAAGGTGTTAGTCATATGGATTTTGAGCATAAAATTTGAATGGGTGGCCAAGGGACCTCCCTCAACCTAGCAGCTACTGGCTAGAGAGCACAGCAGTCATGTTCAAATGTCTTGTCTGAGGGAGCTGTGGACACTCTCCCCTCCCTGTGACGCCCTCCACTTGCCCGATCACTAAGTACAGCTCCGTAACAATAACAGTTCATAATGGTGATATTATTAACTGCAATGTGCGTATTATTGATTTACTCTTTGTTCTGCATCATTATCCTTTCAGCAATGAGTTTACTGCATTATTCTCACATACTTAGTCAAGCACCAAATTACAACGAAAGGGCAGGCTCTTGTAATGGCATCTAATGGAACATTGCATAAGTGATCATCACTGCCTCCTATTATGAGCTGCCTCCAGCCATGCGCTTTCTGCCTTATTGGAATGTGCACTGAGCAATTACCAAGTGCAAGGGACCTGGCCATTTTGAAATTTCCCACAGAATTATTGTGTTTCACGTTTGCCACCTGCCCATGCCTCATAGTCCAGCCAGGGATTCAGCCTTTGTCACTACTAGCCTGAGGGGCACAGGGACCTGGGCTGAGCCCCTTGCTACAAGCTCTTTACTATAAGCCAGCAGATTTCATCTGTACAGTCAGTCCCTGACTTTTGGTCCCAGGGCTAACTCTTGCACCAAAGTACTTAGTCCTGAACAGGCATCATGTAGTGATTATAAGTGGCCACAGTATAGCCTGGTGTTAAAGCCAGATTGGTTCAGGAGCCCACAGGTGTAGGGGGGACACTTGTTCCAATAGTTCTGGAAGAGGGGCTTCTCTCCTCAGGAGCAGCCACCATCTCCAGAATTGGAAGTCCAAACTACCCTGGAACAATGAAAATAATGCCAGCCTCATCTCTTTCTAGCTTCTCCCCATCTTGAGGTCAGTTCCTTCGGCTCTCAGAGAAATCTCCGACACCCTAAGGAAGCAGCTGTCTGAGGACACACAGATCTGCGGCCTGATCTACGATTCCATAGGCATCCTGTCCCCATTTAGCCCTGAGTAATGCTCACTTACTGTAAAGTGTTACATGCCCCCATTGTCGGAGGAGTTATGGCGGAAAAATGCAAAATTTTCCTTTTTACTGCTTATGGCCAGCAGAGCCCATAACGTGTCAAGCTGCACATTAGCTACCCTGATAAAAGTTCGCTTTCTTACACACAAAATCATCGTTTCAGCAAGATTTGTTATCTCATTACCTGATAAGCTCTATGTCATAAACCAAGACTCATTCAGTAAATCTCCCGGGAGGACGCTTTGTGGGCAGAAAGGGAGAGATATGAATCTGCAAGGGACTTGATAATGCAGCATTTAAGCGCAAGCATAATGTCACTTATTGTTAAATGCATAAAACCACTTGGCCAAATGGTTGGGCTTTTAATAGGATTTTGTGCAGCATCAGGTGAGAAGCCATATGCCTTTTCTGTCGAGGAGTCACTGAGCACCTGCCAGCACCGCTGCTTTGCCTCACAGGCCTCTGGGGACAGGAGCTGGGCTTTTATTGAGGCCGGGGGAGGGGGGGTCATGAATGCTTTCCTGCAGCTGCGCGCTTCCTCTGTCCTGCTGGGAGTGGGTGTCTGGGTCATTGCTGGGCCGGCCTCTTCTAACTGACCTCTCCCATTCAGGCACATTGTGGTCTGTGGACACATCACTCTGGAGAGTGTTTCCAATTTCCTGAAGGACTTTTTGCACAAGGACCGGGACGATGTCAACGTGGAGATCGTCTTTCTTCACAAGTAAGAGGCCCCTGTTGTTTCAAGACCCTTCATCCAACAAGACACCCAGAGGGGGACACCCTGAGTGTCTGCAGGAGTGGAGGTCTGGGGGTGGCACTGAGGGAGCAGAGCAGAGATGAGTGAGTCAACATCCCTTCTGGCCTCACTGGAGAGGACAGTATAAACCAGTAGACGTGGAAATAGCACACTAACACAGTGATGAGAGCAGCACCTGCCTTTGTGAAAGCAATTCTGGAGTTTATTATGGGTCACACACATCATCACTGTCCCCTCAGCTGTCTAGATCTCTGTGATCCAGATGCGTCCACAGTGTCTGGTGTGGGATGATTAGCAGTATGTTGTGAATGCTTTATGAGTGCCAGAGTGACATAGTGACCAAAGAAGACACAGACCTAACAAGAAGCAGGGTGTAAGGTAATAATAATAATAACAACAACAACTGTGGTTCCTAGAAACCTTCAGTGGGGAACCCTGCTTGGGGGTCACAGTGCATACAGTCTCTCTTGTGATCAATAGGAGTTAAATATGTGCTGTAGACTCAGAATATTTGATCCGAATCTTGACCCAACCAATTACTTGTTGAACAAGTTACTTACCTACTCTGGGCCTCAGTTTCTACATCCATAAGACGAGGAGACCATCATGGTTTCTACCAGCCTCCTTGGGCTATTGTGAGAATGAAAAGAACTAACTCTTATAAAGTATGCAGAGCAGAGTCAGGCATGAAGTAACTGCTCAATATATGTGAGCTTGTACTGTGAAAGATAAGATATATCAGGTTACATAATCAATTTAGAAGTTGGGTCTTATATATTTGTTTTATAGACGAGAAGGGCAAAATAGCTCCCCTCTGCTCAGTGTTGTTGACTTTTTAAGCTTTGTCACATCCCCTTTTAGGTAAAAAGTAGTCTGCTCCAAGGATGGAAGGTTGGGAGGGTGTGGCTTGAGCCTGCTGACATGGGTTGCACTGACTTCTTTTATGGAGATGGGGCTGTGAAGGGGCCAGCCTAGCCTTAAGTTGATGGAGGGACAAAGCTTACATGTTGGTGTTGGCTCGATATAGCATTGACCACCCAGGACTCAGTCCTGCTCCAAGATTTCCCTGCAAGCTCCCATTCTGTGCATCCTTTTCCCGTGGGCATTCATTCACCAGACTGGCCACCATGTTTGAGCACCAGAATTTGTCTTCTCAGCACCGACTTCTCCAAGTTCTGAAAAGACTGGCCAGGCCATGGGCCTTAGAGCAGAACCCACAGATGGATTTGGTGCTTAGCTGCTCTACCAGCTCTGGGGCCTGTCTTCTGCTGAGCATTTTAGAAGGTCCAAGGGAAGTATAGTGGGTAGGTTCTGCCCTCTTGTTGGTTGAACATTTTAAGCGGAGCACATGTGCAACATTAGAGCAGAATATTGACACTGAATTAGCTTACTGAGGTTAGTTTAATCAAGTGGCAGAATGGCCAGGGGCCTGTGTACCAGGGAGGGACCCCCGCTTTTTTATTACTGAGGCAGGATTCAGGAAAGAAGCATGGTTTGTGTAGGATCTGGAAGACTGGTCAGATTTATATAGGCAGCTACTCTTCTCTCACCTGTGTATTTGGTCTGAATCAGCAAGTTGGCTTCTTATGCTTCCATTGTTAACACTCCTCTGCATCTATTAGTGTCAGCATGGCAGTTGGTGACCCAAGTTAATTCTCTTGAAGCTTTGTGTTAATAACATACCTTCCTCTAGGATTGTTTTGAGATTTAAATGAGTTCATACTTGTCGAGTGTTTAGAATTGTATTTGCTATGTAGTAAATGCTGAAAACACTAAAATTTATTTTTATTAGGTACTTAATAAATGTTAGCTAAGTGTTGATTAATAAAGTTCTTGGCGCCTAGTAGGTTCTAACTATCTCCCAGTGCCTAGTATCAAACTGTTACAGAACAGAACAAGGCGGGGGCCTGGGACGATATACTATTATTTAAAAGGCCCCCAGGTCCGTCATGTCCGTCGCCCGAGGAGAGACGTCTCTCAATGCCAGAGATTCATGAAAAGGAAAGGAAATGTTTATTTAATGCTATACAAACTTCAAGTAGTGACCTAATGTCTTTATCAAAAACCCCAAAGTCCCCCAAAACACCCACAAACAGACACAGTCCTTCCTTCCTTCCCCCTTTGCCCAGTCCAGAGTACTGTATTTCAGGGAAGGAAAACGAAGTCCATGGCTCAGACAGTCCTCTGGTTCTTAGTCCTCCTTCTTGACTGGGAGACCTCCCTGGGTTCCCAACACCCTCGGCTGAGTCGCCAGGATCTTTGCTAAAACCAGGTGGTGGTTCCCCCTTCTAAAGCTGCGGGGGTCCCCACTCCGTCCAGGCCTCGTGGTTCTCTCTCTCTGGGATGCGGGAGTCTCCACTCTGCTAAAGACGCATGGTTCTCTCTCTCAGGGCTGCGGGAAGGGGAGAGCCCCCACTCTGCCAAAGCCGCGTGGTTCTCCCTCAATGGCCACCAAGTCTGGGTTTTAAATCCCCGCGGCCAGTCTTCCTCTGCAGCCTCATTTCCGACTCCTCCCACACTCGGCTTCACTTGCCAGAATTCGTATCCTTCCAGGTTTACTGGGCTGCCATCACGAGTCTGGGCAGGTGTGGCCCCATGTCCTGGAGCCAATCTTCTCCGAGCTCCCACACAGGCGCTGTAGCTTGGGGGATCCGCCCCCCAGTCACGTGTTGGTGGGGAAGTTACTTCCATTCCCCTGGCTCAGAGATGATCACAGCTATTTAACATATCCATGCAACCAGCCAAAGGCTATAGATATGTTAAATGACCACGCCAGAGGGTAGCTGCAAGGCTGTTGCTATGCAAAACAGCTCTCAATGGCCTTGCTCCATTTGCCCCTTCCCCCAACCCACAGCCTGGGTGGGGGGGGATGGAGACATCTTAAAATCTCCTGGACACCTTAAGTTCCCGGACCCCATTTCAAATGCCCATTTGGGGTCCCCCCTCTTGGCTGCACCCTGTAACAGTACCATGTAGAAAGCAGGTATTTTTCATCTCTCCAGAATTGATAAATGAATGGTTATCATACCTATTGTTATCACTGATTTAATCTTTATCCCCCAATGGGAAAGATGACTTTACAGCTCAGCCCTAAGAATGATGGATACCGTACACAGGTGGGAACCAAGAACAGCACTGAAAGTAAATGAACTGTGTGTGTGGCTGGTCAGAGGTGACATTTTTTGATTCAGTCCCTATGGAATGAGAAGTCCAGGAGCTAGAGAAATAGGGAAAAGGCTTCCGATAGAAGCAGGAGGTTTCACCAGGGGACCTTCGGCTCATCACTGATGTGACAGCCTCAGTTTCTCTACTCATAAAATAAGGATTCTACTCATAGTGAAGTTGAAGACATTTTGCCCTACTCATTAGGCTTTGCAAAAAGTCATGAGCCTGTTGATTTCATCTTGGTATTGGTTTTTCTTTGCAGTTGGGCTGAAGTTTTACATCTCTTGAATGTGAACCTTTTATTTATGACAAGCACAGGGGCTACTTTGAAGGTGAAAGCCTTTATTCAAGTCTTCCTCTGTGGAGGTCAAGAGAGGGGAGGCAGCGGAGGCTGAAATACCTGAGTCTGTCATGCTAATGGCCGTGTTTTCTCCCCCTGCACAGCATTTCTCCTAATCTGGAGCTCGAAGCTCTATTCAAACGACATTTTACTCAGGTGGAATTTTATCAGGGTTCAGTCCTCAATCCACATGATCTTGCAAGAGTCAAGGTAAGAAGGGAGGAGTGACTTCTGCTTTTACTCCATCTAAAGGGAGGGGGTGGTGCCTGACTCTGGTGAGGGACATACCCCTCAGGATGGCCAAGAGTCACCTCTCAACCCTTAATAAGCCAGAAACCACCAACCTTGACATCACTCTGCCTTTGGCCCCAGGACTTCATTCTGCTGGCACCTGGTAGCCACCTGTAAGCAGTCCACCCTTGAACTAGCCCTGACATGAAATTTATTTTGTTAGTTCCTTCAGTATCAATACTGCTAAAGGCAGTAGACTACTCTCATTCACAACATAATAATCAAGTTTTTCCCATCTTGAATACTTAAATTGGTCTCAACATAGTTCTGAAATTTATTATTTTTATCAGAAAGGAGCATTAACTATAAAATGTAAAATAAAATTTTAGCAAGCCATAAAACATTTTTAGCTCCCTTTTTGTCCCCACCAAAGATTAAGGTGCAAAGCTAAACATACAGGTAGCCAGTACCAGTTGGTAATGGGCTCCTTCTTCTTTCCAGAACGTGCTAACACAGATTCTTCTTATAAGAGACTGGGGTACAGCAAAATGGCATCTGCTACTTTACTCATTTTGTATCAATTTTGTAAGCACACTCAATATTTGCATGACAGTGAGTATAGATTAAAATTGTGAATCCACTGATATGTAAATGCTAACTGTGGCCACCACATAATCAAGTACATAATGTCATTGGCAAACACAAATAAGTCAAAAGTATTTGGGTAAATTCTTTGGATTATTAAGGAAAACTAGAGACACTTGGGTCACATACCAAGGAGACAGCCATGCCCTCCCACCAAATGCAGGACTGGCATGTTAAGTAGAACATACCAAGTGGGACATTGCAGGGTTGAGCCAGCACGAGAAGTCTTATGCTTATAGGTCCAGTTAATCTTAATATTACCCAGACTCGATCCAAGTCAGGGCTAATGTGAAAGCTTATGAGAACTTAGAGAAAATAGTTATTGTACTTGGACCTAATTTAGATGTAAGCAATTATTAGCACAGCTCACAGGAATAAATTATTTTTGGCTCATATGTAGGTAAGTCAGTAGGTTATAGTTGGAGATAGTCTGTAACATGTTATTTTATTTATACAGGTTTGCTGTCTTTTGGATATCTGAAAGCTAATTGAATACTGAGCTATTATTGGATTTAGGGCTCTCATTTCCTCTTACTCCCCTGTTAAAGTGTAAGAAAGGTTAGAGGAAGTGTTACAGAAAAGGGAGGCCAAGGGCGATATACTATGATTGAAAGAATACCCTACCATGCTTGATTGTCCCCCGCGTTATAGGAAAGACATCTCTCAATGCCAGAGATTTGTGAAAAGGAAAGGAAATGTTTATTTAATGCTATACAGACTTAAAGTAGTGACCTAATGTCTTCATCAAAATCCCAAAGTTCCTTAAAACACCCACAAATACACACAGTCCTTCCTTCCCCTCTTTGCCCCTCTTTCCGTATCTCAGGAAAATAAATAGAAGCCTGTGTCTCAGGCAGCCCCCGGTTCTTCCCAGCAATCCATCTCAGCTGGTAGGCCTCCCTCAGTTCCCGGCACTATCAGCCGTGTTGCCAGGATCTCTGCTAAAGCCGGGTGGTGGTTCCCCCTTCTAAAGCTGTGGGGGTCCCCACTCTGGCAAAGCCACGTGGCTCTCTTACATGGCCACAGCCACGTGGCTCTCCTTTCTATTGCCACAGCTGCATGGTTCTCTGCAGTGCCACAGCCAAGTGGTCCCCTCTGCACAATGACCGCAGAAGTCCCCACTCTGGCAACGCCACATGGTTCTCCCTCCACAATGGCCAAGGGAGTCCCCACTCTGGCAAAGCCACGTGGTTCTCCCTCACTGGCTGCCAAGTCTGGGTTTAAATCCCTGCACCATTCTTCCTCTTCAACCCCATTTCTGACTCCTCCCACAGTCAGCTACATTTGCCAGCACTCCCATATCCTTCCAGCTTTACTGGGCTGCCATAGTGGGTCTGGGCAGGTGTGGCCCCATGGCGTGGAGCCAATCATCTCCAAGCTCTCACGCAGGTGCTGTAACTAGGGGGAGTAGCCTCCCAGTTTTGTCTTGGGGGAAAGTTACTCCCATCCCCCTGGCTCAGAGTATGGCCACAGCTATTTAGCATATCTATACAACCAGTTAAAGGTTATAGATATGCTAAATGACCATGCCAGAGGTTAGCTGCAAAGCTGTTGCTATGCAAAACAGCTCTCAATGGCCCTGCTCCATTTGTCCCTTCCCCCAACCCACACCTGTGGCAGGGGGAGGGGGGTGGACATCCTAATATTTCCTGGACACCTTGAGTTCTGGACCCCATTCCAAATCCCTATTTGTCACCCCCCCCCCACCCCCCTTGGTTGCACCCTGTAACAGAAGGACTTTGGAGTCTACATTACTGAATCCTCAACTACTCAGTCAACTTGGTAACCTGAGAAGAGGGGTGTAGTCCACCTAACTCCATTTCCCACCTGGAAAAGTTCGGGTGATGGTGCAAATGATGGGGCAAGGGGTTGCGGGGTGGGTGAACTGAAAGGCTTAGTTAATAGTTATTTAAAGAAATATGGAAACCTCACCTGTAAGAGACTATGCAAAAGGAATGGTATAATTACCAAGGTACATATTGTGCCGTTCAAGAGAAATAAGATGAATTGTTGATATCATAACAAGAACTTGCAACCTACACTTTTGACAAAAACTATAATCTCTCAGGATTTAAAAAAAAAATTTCCTTGCAAAGTGCCAGGTTCCCCAAGAGCTGTTAAAAGAGAGAGTCTGCCAAGCATGGCTATTTATATGTTTGTGTTCTGTGATTTTCCTTTTGGTGTCTTAGATAGAGTCAGCAGATGCGTGCCTCATCCTTGCCAATAAATACTGCGCTGACCCTGATGCTGAAGATGCCTCCAACATCATGAGGTAAACTTGGGGAGGCTGGGGAAAGCTCTGGGCTTGGTGCTCTTTTGGGTCCCCTGCAGAGCACCATCTACCCCATAAACTACCCACAACTTGCATGTGCCTGGGAGGAGCTGAAACTGTGGCAGGTGCAGAGGGCAATGCCATAAGGCATTGTCAACAGGAAGTTCATTCTTAGAAGACGGGAACTCTGGGGTCTTGAGTTTGAGATCCTTTAGACAGGACTAGGAAAGATAAATTTAGGTGGGCATAGGCCTGAAATAAGGTACCATGTTTCCCAAGGGGAATGGATCTGAGATACCTTAACTGGGGGTGGTTTTGTCTCTCGGGACATTTTGAAACACCTGGAGATGTTCTTGGTTGTCATAACTAGGGCATAGTCCTGCTCTTGTCTGGTGGGTAGAGCCTAGTAATGCTGCTCATCTTCCTATAATGCAAAAGACAGCTCCCCACAGCAGAGACTTATCTAGCCAGAATGTGAATAGGGCTCAGGATGAGAAGCCCCATGTTAGAGCTTTCCCAGTGTGTCTATAGCATAGTGATTAATGTCACCCACAAAGAGGAGTTCATTTACCAATGAGTTTGTTTCAACCAGTTTCCCCAAATGAAAACATTTTGTTCACTGAATACTTTCTCAATGCTTTTAATACTAATAAGAATTTTTAAGACAATGTACTATAGAGAGTTTTCAAAACTATTTGACTCTAAGTCCCTGCTCCCATTTTTATAGAATATCCACTGTGGGGCACTCTTTGTGTTACAGAACAAACAAGGGGGGCCTGGGACAATATACTATTATTGAAAGAAGGCCCCGGGTCCATTATGTCCGCCGCCAGAGGAAAGACGTCTCTCAATGCCAGAGATTCGTGAAAAGGAAAGGAAATGTTTATTTAATGCTATACAGACTTCAAGTAGTGACCTAATGTCTTTATCAAAAATCCTAAAGTCCCTAAAAACACCCACAAACACCCAGTTCTTCCTTCCTTCCCCCTTTGCCCAGTCCAGAGTACCGTATCTCAGGAAAGGAAATAGAAGTCCATGGCTCAGGCAGTCCTCTGGTTCTTAGTTAGTCCTCCATCTCGACTGGAAGACCTCCCTGGGTTCCTGGCACCCTCGGCTGAGTCGCCAGGATCTCTGCTAAAACCAGGTGGTGGTTCCCCTTCTAAAGCTGCGGGGGTCCCCACTCTGGCACAGGCACGTGGTCCTCTCTCCCAGGGCCACGGGAGTCTCCACTCTGTCAAGGCCGTGTGGTTCTCCCTCTCTGGGATGCGGGAGTCTCCACTCTGCTAAAGCCGCATGGTTCTCTCTCCTAAAGCAGCATGGTTCTCCCTCAATGGCTGCGCATGGCTCTCCTTCCTAAAGCAGCATGGTTCTCTCCTCCTCAGGGCTGCACATGGCTCTCCTTCTCAAGGCAGCGTGGTTCTCCCTCCTAAAGCACCACGGTTCTCTCTCTTAGGGCTGCGCATGGCTCTCCCTCCTAAAGCAGCATGGTTCTCTCTCTTAATGGCCGCCAAGTCTGGGTTTTAAATCCCCGCGGCCAGTCTTCCTCTGCAGCCTCATTTCTGACTCCTCCCACACTCGGCTTCACATGGCAGAACTCGTATCCTTCCAGGTTTACTGGGCTGCCATCATCAGTCTGGGCAGGTGTGGCCCCATGTCCTGGAGCCAATCTTCTCCGAGCTCCCACACAGGCACTGTAGCTTGGGGGATCTGCCCCCAGTCACGTCTTGGTGGGGAAGTTACTTCCATTCCCCTGGCTCAGAGATGATCACAGCTATTTAACATATCCATGCAACCAGCCAAAGGCTATAGATATGTTAAATGACCACGCCAGAGGGTAGCTGCAAGGCTGTTGCTATGCAAAACAGCTCTCAATGGCCCTGCTCCATTTGTCCCTTCCCTCAACCCACACCCTGTGCGGGGGGCGGGGTGGGGGGGTGGGGGGGGGTGGAGACATCTTAAAATCTCCTGGACACCTTAAGTTCCCGGACCCCATTTCAAATGCCCATTTGGGGTCCCCTCTCTTGGCTGCACCCTGTAACATTTGGAGAACCCTTCCCAGTAACTTCCTGCAAATGGGTTGAGCCTGTCTAAGGCCACCCCCTGCCCAGCTCCTACTCTTTACTATTTCAGAAGAAAACTGCTCCATGTTTGTTCTTTCACAGACCCAAATTCCAGACTACTTGTGTCTATGAAATGTCTCAAAAGTTAAGCTATTTTGCTCCAGATAGTTAAAGCCCTTTTGAATTCTTTTCTCCTACAGCAGAGTGGTTAAGAGCTGGAAGGGAATAATAAGGAGAACCTTCTGGAGAAGAGATGAACTAAGAGAAAACATTTCACTCCCACTATATTCCCAGGAACTCTTGCCTAATTGCAAACAGCCATCTTTGGGATCTAGACAAAGATTCCGATCTCCCTGCAGCTTGGTTTACTGTGTCCTGGGATTTCACCGAGGTACAGGGTTGGGAAGTTGCTTTTGCATCATCACAGTGCTCCCATCTCCTTTCTTTGCCTTTAATCAGAGGCCCCAAGTGACATGAGCCTCCCCATCAGTGAGGTGGGGGAATTCCTCCCTGCATTTCGGGTGAGCAAGTCCTCCTCTCAGCATCTGGTCCTTGTGTCTGGCAAGCGACATCTGGTGCGATGTTCTCTTTGCACTCGCTTTTCTTTGGCAATATGATTAGTGCAGTCGTTTTGAGGAAGTCAGTGCCTGAAGTCTTGTAAGCATTGGACTTGCCAGGCTGCAGGGAGATGGGTTCACCCCTTAACTGGTCACAGCTGGAAAGTGACTGCAACAGCCTCAGCTTAAAGTGGGTCAGTCTGCCCTTTCCTTGTGTAACAGGAAAAGACACTGGCGTTTGGGCTGCCTGTCACTACCAAATCCAATAAGCAATGACAGTGATTGAATCTTTTATGGGTGCTTTATTCAGATGGCTGGCGATCCGAAAAGATGGCGGGTTCATACCCAAACAAACCATCTTCCCTTCTCTTTCCTGGCTAGATCTTTTATAAGTGGGTGGGGGAGAACAAACAAGATGCAGTGAGGGCTTTGAGATTCAGAAGCCGTAACATTCCTGTCCTGGGCAGTTAGCTGATCCCAAGGGGGAGGGGTGGTCATCTGCTCTCCCTGGAGCAAAGGTTCAGAGGTCCCCAGGCGGTAATCTTCTATCAGTGCCCCAGGAGGTCGGCTGTTTTTCCCAGGAGCCAGGATGGGCCTTATCTGTAGTTTCTGAAACAAAAGCTTTAACATACACATTACTTGCTAGACTCAAACCCCTTAACCTTAAGCTAAAATTTTCTAAGTCCTGAGTCCCCTATCACTTGAACTAGGATTCCCATGGTTCACTAAATGTTTGTATCATTGGGAGTGATAAAAATGTAGTCTTTAAGAAACTAGACCTCATTGTCTTCAAAATTTCATCCCAAAAAATCAAAAGAAGATGAAGCTTAATGTGTTAACTCCACAAAAAGTTTGAGGCTGGCACTGCTTTTTTTTTTCCCTTCAAAAGTGACTAGTTGAAATGATAATAGCTTTGAAATGGGCATTTCTCTTAATCACAATATTTTATATAAGCCCTGAGTATGATAGGGTTAATGTGAAGACATATAGGTTCCCAGGGTGAGCGGTGAGTGGCATGATGCCAAGGCATAAAGATTCCTGAAGAAAGTATGTAGTATCAGAAATGTAATTAAGCCATCCATTAACCAGAATCAGAACTAAGGCCTGGGCAGCAAAAGGAAATGGGAGATCCAGGGTTAAAAATGGGCTTTGTCTTTCCCTTATTTATATAAGCCTCCTTCCTCCTTAATTTAATGAGACCAATCTGCCCCTTTTGAAATTAAAATGTCAAAGATCCATTTGAAATGAGCTAATGCAGAAAACTGGCTGATGCTGTGAACTGAATTCAGAGGGCTGACAAAGGCTCAAAGTCCTTGAGTTATAAGCATGGGCCAAAGCAACACTTTTTCAAAAATAAGATGAAATCCTTCAAGTGCAAAAGCCCAGGGTGAATTTGTGCATGAGGAACTTATGTGTGATCTGTTTCCTAAATTCACAAGTTGTAGCTTTTCAGACAAAGATGCTTCCTGGCTGCCTTTTCCCCATCTTTGCACAAAAAGGGAAGGGACCATAGCATTTCTTTGTGGGAAGTTTGTGGGGGTGGTCATAATAAATGCATTTGCATTTCTGAGTAGGCTTAGGAGGTGGCCTTTCTGTGGATTCCATTCTCTAGCCTTCCTTGTCACAGAAGGAAATGTACAATGTCACCTCTGACAGAGTCAGTAATGACAAAAACCATAACTTACACGTGGAGAGGGCTTTTAATGATTTCAAAGCATTTTCACATCTGGTCTCTCATTTTGCTTTTCATACCAACCCCGTGAAATAAATAAAGCAGGCACTGTTGCCCCCAATGTCCAGATGAGGAAACAGTCACAGAGGACCAGGATTTCCGAAGGTCACCCAGTACGTTAGTACAAAAGCTGGGACTGGAGTCCAGGTGTTTCTATTCCGCTGCTCCTGGCCCCTCCCCTTTCCGCAGAGGGATTGTCAAGCAAACAGAAGGGGAGGGGTGGACAGTGGTTAATCCTGAGCTGGCCTGAGGGCATTTTGGAGAAATTTTCCACCAAATCAGGACCTATGGAAGGCTGAGCCATCGATCCCATCTTAAGGGCCCTGCTTAGAGATCATTTTTGTGAGTGGCCATGTATATAACAATTAGAATCATTTGATTTGTCATTGTTGTCTCAAGTTATTAACTTGGGGAATTGGACTCCTAGCAAATTGTTTCTAGGCTCTCTTCCCCAGGGCATGAGATTGCAAACCTCCCTTGGCCCCATGAATTGGGCTTGCTTTCTTTAGGTGCCTATATAGGCAATGAGCCCTGACCCTTGTTCTGCAACCCCCACCCCCAGTACACACCCCCTCACATACCATCCATTGCCAAGACACCACAAGGCCTCTCTCTTCTTTTATGCCCAGGACACAGTCTATGACAGTTGTGTGGTTTCTTTGTCACACTACCACGGGGTACAGTGGTGGAAACACAGTTTAACTTGGCTCAGTGCCTGCAACCCCCCAGGATGGCCCTGGCTGCTGGCACCACACTTAGTGCATTTGGTTATAATCAAATTAATCTTATCAGACTCCAAGGGTAAGGCTAAGGCAAACTGTGTCTCAGCTTTCCTTTTTTTCTTTTTCAGAGTAATCTCCATAAAGAACTACCATCCGAAGATAAGAATCATCACTCAAATGCTGCAGTATCACAATAAGGTAGGACAGTGAGAGCCCCTCCTAGGCTCAGAGATGCACACATGGGTCCAGCCTCTCCTCCCTCACTGTACAGCCAAATACATGTGCATGCACACACAACAAAGGCCTGGATAAAGAGGGTGATGGGCAAAAACCTTCTTGGGCCATTTCTTCAGTCCAATCATCTTGTTTGTAGTTGATTACGGGGAGCAAGCACCTTCAGTACTGATTCATTCATTCAGGAAGCATTGGTTGGTCCTGTAGTTTCAGAAATATTGATGCATTTTTAGATCTCCTTCCAACAACTTCCCTTTTTATGTGTTGCACTAGTTTCTTTAGTTGGTATTTACTGAATACCTCCTAGGTGGTCCACATTCTTTGCCTGACCCCCTAACCCCACATGGATATAATGAAGTCCTATTTTGTGCCCTCAAGGATTCAACACTCAATATGTAGAGAGTGTCCCAAATTGGACTTTTCTATCTGAGACCACGTGAATGTTGGGGAACAGAACATGGTTGGGTGGAGAATGCAGAGTGTGGCATGCTCAAATTCAAGATGAGAATTGCATGGTTGAATTCAGGAAAAACGGTTGGCTAGCTAGAGATTAAACATGTAGGAATTGTCCTAGTGCTACAGCTGACAAGGGGGTTGGAAAGTCTGTGTTGTTTCCCAGAGCCCAGTCTTACTCAGAGGCAGTGCTCCTTCACTCAGACTGTCATTAAACTCCTAGGAAAACAGCTCTGGGGGAGGGAAGGTGGCACTTTTTTCTGCTTGACACGGAACCAGTTACTTCTAACCCTTAATGAGGCTTAGAAACCAGAGGCTGCTCAGTACCTGGAACCAGGTGTCCTATCTGAACAGAATAACTCCCTGCTGGGTTTTGAGTGAGCTTGTGTCCCATCTTATAGGCCACATTCCCTATGAAATCGGCAGTCAGGTAACCCAGAGAAGACCCCACTCTGCCAAATGCGCCAGTGCCATGCCATTATTTCTTAATTGTTGGCAAGTGCTGCCCCATTTTGTGAAATGGAGGCCCATCAGTGGCTGTTGTTGAGTGGAGCCTGCTGTCAGTGACTGGCCTGCCACGCAGGTCTGCTGCCCACTGCCAACTGTTGCCCAGCCCTGGGCAGGTGGTTCCATGGCAGACAGTGTTGCTCTGCAGCCAGTGGGCTTGGTGATGGGCACCCAAGGTCACGTTGTCCTGTGCGTCTCTGGAAAACCCAAGGACACTAAAGAGAGAAAGTGAGGACATTGGTAACTCACCAGCATTGATTTGGAGAGGTTTTTCTGACAGCAGCCCCTGCAGGTGGAGGAGCTGTGGCCGGTGACAGCTCTGGAAGCAACTAACTTTTCTTCTTTCATTTGTGGTTTGAAATTTTCTTTCACGTGGGAGTGCTTTAAGCTGTTGTTTAGATTTTTTGACTGAATTTAGATTGAATAGGAAAATTAATATGGTATATTTACAAAGGGACTTGAATTTCTTCCTTTCTGCTTCTAATGAGTGCTGATGTAGCATCTTCAAGAAATTAAGGAGGATTTCAGCTATGGGATTGTTGTCAAACTCAAAGTAGCTTGGTGAGCCTAGGATCCAGATGGCACCTGGTCAGTGTTCTCATGATCGCAGCAATCTGCATGTCTTCCATAAACCTCCATGTCGTAGTCGTTCAGAAACTATGATGAAGACATCAACTGACCCATGATTATTTGCTTAAGACACTTTTTATTTTAAACCACCCTATTCTACCCTAAATTCTAAAACCCTAATCCTTGAGGGTTTTAGAATTGGACAAAAATCACCTATGAGACTTTGCCCCTGGAAGTTTTATTTTATTTTAAACCACCTTAATCTACCCTAAATTCTAAAACCCTCAAAGAACAGAAAGTCCACTGGTCATTATTTGTTATCTTATTCCTTATAGAGTTGCAACTAGACATTCTTCACCTTGCTTTATAGTTTAGCTCTGCTCCCTAAGGTCTTCCTATACCCACCATTTCATTGTGTTTTTCTCCACCTTCCATGCAATATTATTTTTCTTCCTTTCTTGGCACTTTCTCTTCACCAGACATCTTTACCCATTAAAACTTGCTTTCAGGAAAAAACCTGGTATGTGTATATAAGCTCATATCACTGTCAACATAGTCCAAGGGATAGTTAATTCCATCATTGGATAGCATATATGAAATATAGAGAATTTCAGTCCCCTGTGACCATATGAAGGTAGTATTATTATTTAGGGCCTAGAGGCATGTAGGGAAGCTGCCTGCTTGCTCTCCATATACTCTCATAAAACTGGTCCTGGTTTGTCAGCATAATAATCTCAGATATTTGTGTCATATTTTATGGTTTTAAAAGAGCTTTGGCATCCATTATCTCATTTAGTCCTTTTCTAACCATCTGTGCACTTTAACATCCCACTGTGTCTTTGGGACTCTAAGCTCTGTCTCAGACAGAGCAGCTCTGGTCAGCACAAGTCATGATCACTTGGCAGCCAGTGAGCTAAGAGAACTGCCAACTACCACCTTCTCTTTGAACAGAGCCATAGTCCACTGAACCAAACTGTGGTGCCTCAGAGTAGGCCTCATAGAAAGATTCTATGAGGATGTATTCTCTACAGTGGATGTGTTTAACATCATTGGAGTCTGTGGAAATGCTTGCAGCCTAGTCAACTTCAAACAAGGAAAGAATATAGTCTAGGAAGTTTTCTGATTTGATTGTAGATGACTTGAATCTCTTCAAGGAAAGAATGGTTTGTGGTGTCTTGGAAAAGTGCTGGTCCTGATGATTTAGCTATTACTGGACTTTTTCCTTCCAGTAGACTGTAGTGAAAGAGGTCTTTTTCTCTGACCTGGAAGCCAAGTCCTAATGGCCCAGTCTTTTTGACTTGCTCACTACAAACTTACACTAGGGTGTTGAAAGTGTTTTCTCTATTGTGACCTTCTTTGTTCCTCATGGGGGCCTCCCCACAGTTTTGTGTGTAGTGAGAGGTGGGGCTGGGACTGGAATTCATTTCTCCTGGTTTTCCAGGACAAACTGTTTCACATTTCTCCTTCTTGAGATGAGCAATGGCGCAGCAGCAGAAACCGGGCACCATCGCCTGCTGGACCCTGCTCAGCAGGTCTGCTTCTCCAGGTTAGAGAGGATTGCCTCTAGACTCCCATGCAGCAATGCTGGCGTTTTCCACTGAACCTATACTTCTCTCAGTGAGAAAGGACAGAGTTGCCAGAAACAAAGAATTTGAGTTCCTGGGTCACCTTCCTCATTTTGTTTCATGCACATAGAAGTCCCTAGTCCTGGGCTCTGGTGCATCCCTTGCATCTCCCTCCCTATGATTGCAGAAGCTATGGGGCCCAAGAGAGGAAGCCCCAGAAACAAAAATAAGTGCCTTTTTTGTGTACTAACATGTAGAATATGTTTAAGGAACTCAAACCAGATGGGCACAGGAGGGACCCAAGGCCTAAAAGCCTGGACCTCATACCCTGGATGGCACATGCAGATGTGAGAACCCTCTTGAAAATGTTTTGTTTGTTTGTTTGTTTGAAGATGCCTGCCTGGGGCTTGGACCACCCAAATCTTTCACACTTGATGATTTTATTTTTCATTACTTAGATTTAATGTCTCCTCATTCTTCTCAGATGGTGTTAATGCAAATGAACATTTCTTCACTGAGACTGATTGATATATTATTCTCTATGGTGCCAAGGAAGTGGAGGGGAAAGTGGCCTTCATAAGCCAGCGGAAAGTAAGGAGAAAAATGAAACAAAGGGCAGGGCTCCTTGCTGTACTGAGGATTCAAAGTGTAGAAGGTCTCTGATACTCAGCTGGACAGATGCTGCCATCAGCTGTGGCCCACACATGGGACTATTTGAACAGTGCTGTCATCAGAAGGATACAGTCACCTCTCCCAGGAGTAGACTCCATTGGGTCAGGATGCACGAGATTGTCACGGAACTGGATTTTGCAAGAAGGGGTTTCATTGGAGTGGTTATTTCTGAAAGCAGAGCGGGGACCTTTGAACCTGCCCCTTGTTTCTCCATGGAGTCTTGTATCTCTTAGTACAACTAACTATGTATATGGTGCTGAAAGTGAAGGGAAGGCTCCTTGGTGCCCTTTGGGTTTGGAGAGACAAAGCAACCTCAGGGCTGTAGAGTCTTGGCACTGGGGCAGAACCCAGAGGGTTCTCTTCCTTGCAAAGTCAGGGGTCTTTCTGCTGAGACCTGGATACTTGCTGAGTTTTAGGGGCACAGACTTTTCATTTTTGGATGTTGCCTTCTCCATTTGTTAGACAAATTGCATCCTTAGGAAGTTCCTTTATAAAATAAGCCAAAAATAACTACCTTCTTTTAGTATATTCCAGTCAATCTCAGTTCTGGCCCCTGGAACACAGCAAGACCAGCCTTATCTCTCTTCACCACTACAGCACCTGGGTATTCAGAGGTAACTCTTCTGTCTCCGTGAAGGTGTGGCCCTACTTCAGGCAAACACTGCTGGCTCTCTTAATTGTTGTTCTAAAGGTGTTTTCCAGAACTCACATCTCTCTTTGTGCGTCATTTGTTCTCTGTAAGTTATTCAAACAGCCAATTTCCCTTCCTACATCTGACTGGTAAAACTGCATCAGGCACTCTGGAACTAGCCTGACCAGTTCACATGAGAATGGAACATTCATTGACATTCATTTCCACTGATCTGGAGACCATTTCTAACTAACAAGCATTGGCTTGCTCTGTAATTTGTCACACAGTTGGCCTCTCATGGGTTTACTTACCCACACACTTAAGGTTTTTTTTTTTTTCTTTTTCCTCCTGTCTGCTGCCAAGTTAGGTCTTCTCATTTTGAATTTATATAATTGATTTTTCTTAACCTAAATGCTATACTTGACATTAAAACCTTTTAAATCTTTTCTGGTTGTTTTTTTCTGCCCACTTTTTCAACTCTGGAGAACTTTTCAAATCTTGATTCTTTCATCCAGTGTATCATCTATGACTCCGCTTCATGCCACTTAAAAGTAATTGGCTGAGCATGGCTCTGGGCCCTGATCTCAGCGTCTGACCTAACTGTTGAATAGGATCAGTCCATCTGCAACAGATTGTAACATGTCTACACTGTGATTTGCCTGATGATTTAGGGCAGTGCTTCTCAAAGTGTGGTCCCCAGGCCAGCAGCTCAGCATGGCCTTGACCTTCTTAGAAATGCAAATTATCCAGGCTCACCCCACACCCACCAAATCAGCAACTGTGGAGGAGGGGCCAGCAATGTTTCTGTTCAGACCCTTCAGGTGACTCTAATGCTAGCTCAAGCTTGGAATAGTGGGAAGGTAGGTAAAAAAGAAATCTCAAGTACCCAGGCATCTGACAGCATTAGAGTCTGTCTGAGGAGCCAATTTATGAACAACCTAGTTAGACATACTAGTAGCATGGGCCAATGTCACAAGAGGAATTTCCTTTGGACTTTATTTGGCTAAAGTCAAACCTGAGGAAAGGTCTTGGGCTTGGTGGGCACAGAAGCAGTATTCCAGAGAAACTGAAGTCTGATGAAGAGAAGAGTTGAGTAAAACACCAAGCAGCAGACACAGGCATGGGCAAGAAAGGACAAGTCTGGATGACCCTGAGCAACTGGGCAATGCTGCACTGCCCAAAGGAGATTTTAAACAATCAAACATTTAACAAAGTAAGGTCTCATAACTGTTTTTCTTTCCACAGGCCCATCTGCTAAACATCCCAAGCTGGAATTGGAAAGAGGGTGATGATGCAATCTGCCTCGCAGAGCTGAAGCTGGGGTTCATAGCCCAGAGCTGCCTGGCCCAGGGCCTCTCCACCATGCTCGCCAACCTCTTCTCCATGAGGTCATTCATAAAGGTAACGTCGTGTCCTATTAGAGCACATTAGCCCCCGATTCAATTTGTCGTGGGGTTGAGTAGAGAGCACAGCTTAAACTCAAAACAGATCGACGAGCTTTAACCACTTTGGTTGAGGAGAAATTCCTTGTTACAGATTTGGGCAAGAGGCCAACTTCTTTCAAAATTATGTTTTTATTTTTATTTGGCACATCCACGGCCATTAAATGATTGTTCAAAGCACAATCCACTCTTTTTTTTAGGTAAACCACATGTTTATCTATCAACAAAGCCTCCGCTGTTAAAACAAAAATATGATTTATATACATTCCATATGGCACCAGAGTGCCTAAAGAAAAGAATTATCATTTTGCTCTTTTACATCAAGTGGCTGGTGGACCTCTCACTGTGCGGATAAATGCAGACCATGTGTTTGTGCTGAAGCCCAAACCCCAACAACATAATTCATTTATTTATTTCTGCACAATCAAGGAGGCCAGCAGGGCTGACATGCCACGGTTATTTGAATGGTGAGTGAAACGATGAACTGAGTCCTCGTCAGTGGCGCCCTTTACACCGTGAGGCACACGGTCTGGATTTGCTCATCGCCTTGTCAGCTGGCTCACCTCAGCGGGGCCCCTGCCTGCTGGACCAGCTCGAGCAAAGAAAGACCCAAATCTGTCCTCACAGGCCAGGCCAGGCGTGTTCCCAGGATGTTGGGTTGAGTGTTCAGGCTCCTACTGAGAGGGCCCTTGGAGCTCAGTGCATAATAAACCAGAGAATAATAAACTGGAGAATGATAAACCAGTCCTTTTCCTTGGACTGTTCTCAGCCTCAGCAGTCAAGGTGGCAAATCAGTGCATTAAAAACTGTTTAGTTTGGGTCTCTCTGATTTGGCACTGGTGGCCATTAGTTCTAGATCTGGGCTTACATTCCCCTCCCTGTTACTCATTTATTCACCTTCCCCTTTTTGACTTAGTAGTGGTTAAGGTGGGAAGTCAGTGAGTCACCAGGGGGTTCTGCAAAGGGCATCCATACCTTTGAAATCAAAGGTGTGAGGTCTCCAGGCTTTTGCTGTCATTGCTGCTATATCTACAACCAGAGATAAGGCCTTTGGTGTGTTGAGGACATGGCCCTGGATTTGGTGAGAGGGATTGGCTGGAGGATGGAGATGCAGGTGATGGAGCACAGCCTCTGCAGTGCTGATCCTGGGCCTCCGCAACTTGTCTGACTTAGAACATGATATTTTTCTAGGTCCTTACTTACTGTACCCCCACCTAATTTATATTATGTAGCCAATTTATAGTTAATATTCCTCTGTAAAAGAACAAATAGTTTTGGAGTCCCTTCAATCACTTTAGCAATGGATGTCTTGATGAAAAACTTCTTCTAGTCACTGTGTGTACAGACCTCAACCTCACTGAACCCCTGGCTCAGACCCAGCTCACAGATAGGGGCATTGTGTTCCTTTAAGTGGCTTCTTTAGTCCAGGCTGCAAGTACCCTGCCTGGCTGAAACAGAATGCAGGCAAAAGGGAGGTGGCAGGGTGATCTGTGTCGCAGGGTGTAAAGACAAGCCCAAAAGCCAGATGGAAGCTTGTGTCTCCTAGACCCAGGATAAAGAACTGTCACCAAGAGAGCTTTTTGGGTTTGTTCAGCCAAGCTCTGGTGGTTCTGCCCAGTGGGGAATCGCCCGCAGGACCAGGCACGAGGTCTGAGGCCCTGGACTCTGCTTTCTTGTGTTGATGTAACACGGCCTTGGCAGGGCCCCACTGCCTATGGGGCACTTGACATGCGTATGTTTTGATTTTGTGGTGCCTGCATGGAAACTAGAGCCACCTGTCAGGAAAATTAATAAAATGGATATGACACTGCTTCTTCAGTGTTATTACCAGCAGGGAGAGAGAACTTCTGTCCAACCTCCCTTAAGACCTCTGCAGCCAAGGACGTTCCCTCCAGCCCAACAAATCCCACTGCCAAGTTCCTATTTAGGAAGAGCATGTGGGAGAGGCCTGGCCTGGTCCTGGTGTAACTAAAAACACATTTCCCTCCCGGGGTTATGTTACTGTGTTGTTTCTGTCCAGGCCAGCTCCTTGGTGTTTGGGGCTAGCTCTCTGCGTATGGCCACATGACATTCAGGTGGTCTTCATGTTGGGATTCGCTAGGCATGTGACCTGACCTGGAAACAACACTTCCCTTCACTGATTTTTTTCATTTAAAATAGGGACAGCCTTAAGCATATGTTCCCCATTCTGTAATGTCATCTCTGCACACTTACCCTCCAAATCCCAGGTCTTTGTCTCTTTTAAACACTACAGTGATGCCTTCCTTGGAAAGTTTTATATATTGTCTCCCATTCCAAGGATCACAAAGCCTTCACTTATTTTTATTTGGGGACAGATGGAGAAGGAAATCTATAAATGGATTGTTGTTTACAGAAATTGCTTCCTTCCCTAGTGTCCCCCATGTCCTACGCAGAAAATGCATCAGCACTTAGTCCTATCAGGACGGAGGGAGACAAGATGGACCTTTGGCAACCTTTGATCCCTTGAGAACACTTAGCATTTCTAGAAGCCAGAGGTGGAGTGTGAGCTCACCCTCCCTCTGGCCCTGGGCAGGTACCCTATGTGTTTCTTGGTTTGGCAGAATACACTGTACTCGGTCCCTCCTGAAAGAAGAAGAAAGAGGAACAAGACTGAAACTGTGATGATATATCACAGGCAGAAGCACAGTGATTAGCTCCTGGGTTTTTAGAACCAAGACTGAAAGTGAGGCTGAGAAAGCTCAACAAAAGAGAAAGGGGCTACTGGTGTATAGCTGGTACAAAAGAGACCTAGCCCAGAGGCACCAGGAAATATGAGGGAGCACTTACTGACTTTCCCTAAGGTCACTTTGAAAGATCCTTACCCTAGGACCCCAAGTCATTGCCCCTGAAACCCTAGCTCTCATATTGGACACATTATCTGTGGATGGATCTAAATTTTGCGACTCTATTTCTATTTTTAGCCCACATCTTTTGAGTAATGAAATTTTAAAGTTCTCCTTTAATTTGTTCCACTTAACCTTTAAAACATGAGTTCTACAGTTTCTAGTGTGCTGGGATTTGTTTAACAAGCCATACTGACTTTATAGCCAATACCTTTATGAAAGAGGCTCAGGTTGGCCATTGTGGGGGTCCTCTGGCCCAGTGGCCTATTGCCAATGCCAGGTTAAGCATTTTGTCCAGCAATACCCAGTTTTGACCTACAGTCCCTCTGAAAAGTAAAGGTGAATGTTCTGGTTACTATGAGTTATGAACATCTGTGCCTGAAACATCTTGTTCATTTACCAGTATCTGATCTCCTACCATCTGCCTGTCAGGTTCAAGTGAGAATCTTCCTAATGTCTTCTGTAAGGACCAAGACAATGAACTTATTTAGCCTATTTGCCATCTGCCTCATCCTTGAATAAGTGGCCACACTTATATCCTCTACTTGGCTTCCTCACTTGGATGTAATTTAAGATTCATTGATTGTTTTTTATTATTTTACAGTTTTACCATGTAACACTTAACTTTCTCTCCAACAAATCTGGTTTTAAGTTGGGGCTTGACCTGCTATTTTTGTGAATTGTTTTATTATTCTTGCTAGGATTAGCTGTCCTTGGACGTGATAAATTGTGTGGGTGTTGTGTGTGTTTAGAGTGCGATTAATTCTTAAAATTTATTTTCACTCTACACTAAGTCTTCAAACTGAGCACATTTAAATTGTTCTTAGCATCACCAACTATTTTAACTTGGCTAATCTACCTTTTTGTACACACATGTGCACTCTCTCACACAGCCTAGAATATAGCATGTGTTTTCCTAATCATTTCTTCATTGGATAAATGAGTTAAGAAAATATGTGATACAGTTTTAAAGTTTTTGCCTGTTTTATAAGATTTGGAATTGTGGGTGAAATTTACATAGTATTGATCCCAGTACTGTCTCCTCCATCACATTTTCTATTTGTGAAGAGGAAGCACTAGAGAGATCAGACCCATGTTATTCAGACAGTATCTTGGCTGAGTGGACTTTTCTGGATAGAAAAACCATTTGCTCATTATTGTTATTATCTTGTTGAGATAAACTCTCAGCAGTACATAACCTTACCAATAATTGTGGCCAACGGAATAATTTTTAATACTTTTGTTTTGGGTTATGTTTATGTACATGTGTGTGTTGGAGTATATGTGTATATAAAAACATGGTTTAGAAGCCGGAAACATAAATGAAGAATCTTTAATAATAGCTGAAATATACTAGGTCCTAATTATATGCCAAGCCTTATGCTGTGCTTTATATGAATTATCTCGTTTAATTCTTACAATGACCCTATCCAAACTTGGCACTATTACTAACCCCACTTTACAGTGGAAGGCACTGTGGATTAAGACAAGTTCAGCAACCTGCATGAGGACATAAAGTTGGAATGACAGACTCAGTTGTTAAACCCAGACAAATTGACTCCTGGTCAATTCCACAGCTCCATTCTGTGGGTCTTGTTGGCCTTTCTCTGTGGCCATTGCTGCAAGGGCAGAGGCCACTGTATCAAGTCAGATGAGGGGTTAGCCTAGTCTGGGATGAGTCAGGGAGGGAAATAAATTAGACTCTCGAGAGGGAGCTGACATCATGCACTGCTGTGTTTGGGATGGGGGGTAAAGCTAATTGGCTTAGGTAGGTGCTTCTGGGAGTCAACAAGCAATTTTTATTGGCTGGTAGGTATAAGCTCTGCAGGCCAGAGGTGTTTATCCAGGTGAGGGAGGCATACTAGAAGCAGGGCTGGATTCTCTCTGGAGAGGGAGCTGGTGAAAGGATCTCTGAAATGGGATCAGGGATCCAACTGATAAGACTGGAATCAAAGTGGTCTTCTATGTCTGATGCCAGAATAGAGGGTTTGTCTGGCAAAGTAAATGCATGTGGTGTGAGTTAGAAAGTGAGATACAAGCTATAGCTTATTCCATACTATACTCATGGATAGTGTCCCCCTAACCGCACTCAAGA